GAGGTGGAGTTTCATAAGATCGAACGAATTCACTAGCTTTTTTGTAGACTTTATTTTCTATTAGGAAATTAAAAAAATTATATATATTAAATTGTGAACCCCAATCTCCTAATTCTAAATCCGTCTCTGTAATTACTTTGACCAGTTGTTCGTAGGACTTGGTATATATACTGTTAAACACAAGAAATATATGATTCGAAGCCAAAAGAGCAAAAAGAAATGTTAAAAATTTCTAAAGGACATATCATATTTTTTTCGAAAAAGGGCCTAAAATATCCTCAAAGTATTGAAAATGGTACAAAATTACCCTCCATCCACCTGTTGGCTCCAAAATACCCTTCTCACCCACCTATTGGGTCAAAAATACCCTTGTCATCCACCTTTTGGTTCAAAATTGACCACTTATTTAACGGTTTTATATTTAAACAATTTAAATATTTTTTTAAATACGTGGCACTCAACTATTTGTTATAATTTAACTTATTAGTATAATTTATAAATCAATCCACTACCCACCCATTACTAATTAAACCCTCCAAATTAATAAACCCATTACATTATTAATGCAACAACAGAAAATATATTGTTAATTGAATGTTTTAAAAAATTTGAGATGAAAATATCTATAGAAGTAAATTATCATACATTCAAGTGTCTAAATAAAAATTACCGATAAACTTAAAAGTCTGACTATGTGCATCTTAATTATTCTTACGTCTCAATTATGTGATGTTACTTCATAGATAACTTTTTTTCAAAATAATATATTAAAAGTTTTAAAACAAATCATAAATATTTATAAAACTATATTTAAAAAGTGCATGAATTAATTCGGGATGTATTACTTCTTTACCTTCAACTGTAAGTTTCTAATTTAATCTTGAAAGAGAATCCCATTGAAAGTGTCCTCCTAAATAAGCGGCTCAACATAAATTTAATTTGGGCTTCGAATCAGACTCGGATAATTTTGAATGTCATTTTCAGGAATCTATAATTTCATCGTGTTTTAGTAGTGTTTATGACGATTTTGATATTATAGTTGGATTATTAATTGAGTGGGGTTTAGTTAGTAATGGGTGGGTAGTGGGTTAGTTTATAAATGATACAAATAAATTAAATTATAACCAATAGTTGAGCAAATATTTAAATAGTTTAAATTTAAAATCGTTAAATAAATGGTCAATTTTGAACTCAAAGGTGGATATTCAAAAGTATTTTAGGCTCTTTTCTGTAATATTTTTTAGACTAAAAAAACCGCTACTACCAAAGCGCTTTCTCTCTGACAGTTATGAATGCCATTTACTCCGTTTAAATTAAAAATCGAAATCACTATCCGAGCAACAATTTTCTCAAAAAAAATATTTTTTTCCCTAATATCGTTGCTATAATAGCATTTTCATAAAAAAAAAAATTTAACACTTTCTTCTCATGAAAACGCTGCTTTAGCAGTTTTTTATAAATAATTTTTTAAAAAAAAGGAAATCTGCAGCATTTTACTTAATTTTCTTTCTTTCTTTTTTTCATTCCTGTACTTAATTTATTATTTTTTCAAAAAAGAACTGCTGCCTTGGCAGCCTGAAATTTATATTTATTCGGAAGCGGGATTTTATTTTTTAATAAAACGCGATTTTGAAAAAAATTAAGGAAAAGAAAAATAAATCCAGGAAAAGACGCTACCAAGGCAGTTAAAAGTAAAAAACAGGCTTTTTGAAAAAGAAAATTTATGTAAAACGCTGTCCTAGCGAAAACAAAATTTTAAAAAAATTTTGTGAAAACACTGCTACTGCAGCGATATTAGTGAAAAAAGAAAAAGCAATTTGAGAGAAAATCGCTGTTCAGAGGAAAAATCACTTTGGTAACAGCAATTTTGTCCTTTGTTTAAATAAAAATATGATGTGCACTTTTAAAATTTTTTGACAATTTGTTTTTATCCCTTTGGCTCCGAACTTAGAAATATATATATTCACATTTCTTTTAATAACTAGAGAATTTTTCACCGTAAAATGATGATATTTTGTTTTCCTATGGTCATATATTGGATTTATGTTCAACTGGAAAATAGTCGTATACATAATACTATTGCCTAGCTCAGTCACGTTTTAATGTGAAATGTTTGTGTCTTTGTCTCATTTTATTGAATCTTGACTAAATGTTTTAATATCTTAAAATTCATCATGCATGATTTGACGTGAAAATTGCAACTTGTTGGTACTTTTCACACATCTTCATTAGAATTCCAATATTTTGACATATTGTTCAGTCCAACTTGTTGAAGCACTTTCATTTATTTTCTAAGATCACTAACGTAATTTTCAACATTAATTTAATCTGCGTTATGGCGTACATTGCTCTGACATTTTGTCAATTGAATTTTAGTCTTCTACGTAACATATATATTGCCGAATACTATAGGATAGAATAAATACAAATTGTGTTAAAATTTTCAATAAGCGTGCAATATTATTATTTTATTTTTATTTTGAAAAAAGAAAATATTTTTTCTAGTGACACGATTTTGAGCTTTTAATACATGAAATGTAGAAAGGATTTTGGTAAATGATACAAAATTCACTTCAGTAAACTATAATTGATATAAGTTCTTGGAGATTATTATTTATTAGGATAAAATTAATGCGTTTGTAAATTAACTATACGTACACGGACTGAAGATCATAGCTAAAACAAATGGAGGGATCATCAATGGAGCACATATCAAGGGAGGTTAATAAAGAGGAAAAAACTTATCTGCACTGAGTGTTTATACGGAGCCAATACAAAATGCATTACTATTTGGTATAATAAAATAAAATGAAACTATAAATTTAAACACATAAAATGCATGTATTGACTTGATATAAACAGCCGATATAGATAAATTTTGTCCAGTAGTATATCTACTAGCCCTATATTATTTTATGCATGTCCTTTGTTTGTTTCATCCGCACGCAGTTGAAAGAGTTGATGTGGAAACTACACCATACAGATTAGTTTCTTTTTTGTATGGATAAAGTTATTATTGATAAATAAAATTCTTCCGTTCTTATAAAAAAAAACACATGGTGAATTTATCTCATCACATGCTATATATATTACTTCGTTCATTTCAAATTATATGAGTTATTACAAATATAAAGATTACAAATTTAATGAAAAAAATGGTTAAATTAGTTCATACGTTTAATTTAACATAACTTTTTCTGCTAAAGAAATAAACGTTTACACAATATTAATGCAAATAAAACTAACGTGATAAGTATAGAAATTATAAAAAGAGATGGAGCACAAGTTTAAATAAAAGGCATAACACAGGTTTATAGTAAAATTTATATTAGATAAATAAAAATATTACATATTTTCAACTATATGTATAGATGAATTGTGAACTATGTAATTTAAATTTATCTTGATGAACACAAATACTTTTGTGATAGATTAATATTTTGAATATATATGGAGAAATTTTCAATCTAACTAATTCAAGAAAAAAATTATTATAGTCTAGTCTAGACTATAAACAAATAAAAAAGTAATATGTGATATAGAATACTATCTGATAGTCACGTTTATTTATTTTTGTTGATTGCAATAAATAAAATAAGTCAAACTTAAATATTAATTGGCTTTATTAGATAAAATAAAAGAAAAATGTCAAAAAAATAAAAAGCTGTGAAAAATAATTGGCTATTGTTCATGTTGTGGTGTCCTCCCATCAATATATAGGATGGGTTGCCTTCAAAGATTCAAATCTAACCATTAATCTCTGTGTAAAATATTAAATTTGGAAAAGGTTTTGTGATTTTTTCTTTGTTGCTATGAAAATGACAGTTTATTACCAAGATTTATCAATAGATCATTATTATTTTGTGTAGTTGTGTGGTAATTGAGGTTACTAAATTATCTCATAACTAGTCCAATTAGAACTAAAAATCCTTTTGTCGATGTCTTAATCAACTTTTGAACTACTTAATTCGTTCATTTGCAACTTTACTTTTTCTTTGTTGCCGGATTCAATGCACCATTGGTGATATCTCTTTTTTCTAAGATTCGGCTCGTCTTCATTTCATTTTTCTCTATTTTGTCTTATAAGTTGATTTCATTTTTCTCTATTTTGTCTTATAAGTTGTTGATTGAATAGGAAATACACGACGTAGGTTAAATTTAAAAATTACGATTTAATAATTAATAAAAAAATCTCTCGCTACAATTTAGATGATAAATATGTAATTGAAAAAATTGTCTTAACCATTTTCAATTGTATAATTATTTGATGAAATAAATCATTTGTATTATTATAATATTTTAAAAAATTATATATACTGTCAACACAACACGTAGCAATATTTTCAGTTGATACCTGCATAGCCAAAAAGATTTCTTTTACAGCCGTGTTTATACAAATATTATTCACTTGCGGTAATTAAGTAATGTATTAACCTTGTACAAAAATATATAAAAGTGTTTATAAATTAAAAATGAATTTTAGAAAAATTATAGTGTCCAACACAATATATTGCACCCACGTGGCCATACTTTTTAGTTAAATCGTTAAGCAAATTAACTTCTATCAATAAGGATTAAAAATAAAATAAAAGATATACCTATTCCAAAAGCCCCGTTATCAATTTGTCAAAATTCAAGAAGAATTTTTTTAACAACGATATCAAAGTCTTAAAAAAAAAAAAAAAACTAATCAAACCATTCATTATCCAGCTCATTTGACATATCAGCAACTTTTGACACGTCATCAAATTAGTTTATGGCGGTTTTAATTTGTTAATCAGTTAGATTAATTTCAATTGTGCTCTCTATAAATAGTCCTTCCCGCTCAATTTTTCAACTCAGCTTCTTAATTTCTCTCTGCTTTCTCGAAAAATGGATCTTCGAATTCCAGGTTCTTCAACTTCGTCTTCGTCTTTGTTTTATTCTTCTGAAGATGTTGATTTTCTGATGTAAAATTGGATGATTTTGAAATGTGTAAATTAGAATGCCCTAATGGTGACTGTTATCTTTGATTTTCTCCTATTGCTATCAAATTTCTTATATTGAAATGTTAAATGCTATGAATAGCGTGTGTAATTTTCTAGTTAAATTGATAATCGTTCTTGTTTTACTGAAGACGAAAGGGGTGAAGGTACGGATTCGGGCCGAAGACTCCGTGCCCGTTTGAGGAAAATTCACCGTGACTCGAGACAAACTGTAAGAGGATCAGTTTTGAAATGGGAGACAGTGGAAGAAGAAATGGATGAAGTCATTCTTAAGGATTTATTCAGATAATTCTGATAACATCTCGCTTGCTGAAACTGCTGAGCCACCATCGGATTTGATCTTGCCGCTTTTGAGGTACCAAAAGGAATGGTTGGCTTGGTCAATAAAGCAAGAAGAATCTGCATGCAAGGGGGGTATTCTTGCTGATGAAATGGGAATGGGGAAGACGCTTCAAGCCATAGCACTTGTGCTTGCTCAACGCGATTTAAAGAAAGCAACTAATGGTTCCAGTATATTGTTGTCTTCACCTGGTACTTCCCAGGAACTCCCAACAGTAAAAGGAACTCTTGTTGTATGTCCTGTGATTGGAGCATCTCAATGGCTTCGAGAGATTGAACGTTGCACAACTAAAGAAAGCAACAAAACTCTTCTTTATCATGGCACAAACAGGGGAAAATTTACATCCAACCTGGAGGAGTATGATTTTGTCATTACTACCTACTCCACTATCCTGGCTGACTATAGGCCAAAAAAGTCAAAGCAGAAGAGCAACAACTCAAAATTGTGTGACGATGGTTCTATTGATAATTCGGTCAGTGTTGGTGAAGATGTGTCCAGAAGGAAGTCAATTCTGCATTCAGTGAAGTGGGATCGTATCATTTTGGATGAGGCAAGTCATGCATTATGTTGTTGTTTTCTCTATTTTGTAGTATCGGAGGTTTGAAAGCGTTCTTGGTTCATTTGCTGTTTATACAACCTTTTTCTTATAAATGCCAGTTTTTCAAGTCATGTTGTTAGAGTCGTAAATGTGGAGATTGGTATGAAAAAACCTATGCCGTTAACTGCTGGATAGTGTCATAGCAGCTATGATGTTTATTAGAATGTGAAGAATCTTGTGGTGATTTCGAAGAAACCTATACAGTTAACTGCTGAATAGTGTAGGTGTAAATATGTCCATGATGTTTCAGCTATTAAAACTCAGCAAAATGTCCTATAGTTCTTTGCTTTGCATTTCATCTATTTTCTATCTACATGGTGAACTATAGTTCTTTGCTTTGCATTTCATCTATTTTCTATCTTCATGGTGAACAATGCTGCATGTAGTGTCATGTGAACTACTAAATTTCATCTGCAATTTTCTTAACTGATTGAGCTTCTGTGGCATAGGCTCATCATGTCAAATCTATAAGCACCACCACCACAAAAGTGGTTCTTGCTTTAGAATCTTTTTATAAGTGGGCCTTAACTGGTACACCCCTGCAAAACCACATTGGAGAATTGTACGTACTTGTAAGTTAATTTTTGCTGGTTTCACTACATTTTCTTTACTTTTAATAGTTCTGAGGTTAATTACATTATTTACTTCTATACAGGTCCGATTCTTACAAGTTACTCCTTATGCTTATTACTTTTGCCAAAATTGTAATTGCAGCGGACTTGATTTAAGGTAGACACAAATATTCTTTTTTTAAATCCTTGTTCCTATCCCTTAGTATGAAAGACACAATGGCTCAAAATCTATTTTACTTTATATTGTTATACTTTTGCTTCTCAAGCAATGTTATTTATGAAATATCTTGTGCTCTTTGATAAATTCTACAGCTCCTCTGATAAATGCCCACAGTGCCATCCCCAGACTTGCCGACGTGCACGCCACTTCCTCTGGTGGAATAAAGTAAGTTAACAATTTATGAGGTTCATCTTTTTGCTGACATAGTAAAGTTGAAACATCTTCTTTTTTCTTTTTTCTAGTATATTGAAAAACCTTTAAGGATTATGGGACACAAGAATGACGGTGGAGATGCTATGGTTTTTTTGAAGCACAAAATTCTGAAAAGCATAATGCTAAGACGTACCAAAAAGGAAAGAGTTGTTGATCTTTCACTTCCCACAAAGACTGTAAGTTCTGTCTTGCAGTAGTGTCGTGTGCTTCAATTTCGATAAGAATCTTCTATTATTGGTTATTATTTTTGGGTTCAGGTTATAATAAGAAAAGATTCTTTGGATGTGGATGAATTTAACTACTACAAGTCATTGCACAATAGAAGTCGAGAACTGCTCAAGAGGTATTTTTCAAACTTGAGCTCTTATTCCTTGCAAGTCCACTTTCTTGGCTCCAGCTGCACCAATTTGCTGGCTCTATAATTATTATTTTTTTGCTGTGTATCCCGTTCTCTTGCTTATCCATGGATTAAATGCATTAAATCTGTTTCCTATAATTGCTTGTTCTTAAGTAGTTATTGAACATATTGGGTTAGTATCTTGGTTTTTAACTTAAATCTTATACATCTTTTTCTTCCCATAAAATTCTTAATCATTTGTGCCATACCTGCCAAAAAGTAAGGGATCAAGGACATTTTTATTTATAACCGTATCACATTTTGTATTTTGGTGCAGATATGTAGAGGATGGAACTCTGATGAATAACTATGGTCACATTTTTGCTATGATCACGCGCCTACGGCAGGTACCTACATTCCTACTCCTCTTACAACTTTATTTTGAAGTGTCTGCCTCTAGTTTTCTTGTCCTCCTATTATATGAGCGCAAATACAAATACTGGCCTTTCTTTTGCTTCATTTGAACTATGGGTCATCAGCCAAATTTGATTGCAGAAAATGCCTGACTAATATAATGTCTTTCTTTAATCGGCAGGCAGCTGATCATCGTTACCTTGTAATGTACTCTAGAAAAGAATTGGCTAGTGGAAACAAAGAGGCTGAAGATGTTGAAAAATTATGTGACCTATGTCATGATGCAGTGGAAGATCTAGTAGTGAGTTTGCGCACCTCTACCCACTCCCTCCTCCCAAACCAAGAAATAAGAAAAGAGAGAAGAAAAGGAAAGAAACAAATTCAGAAACTTCATGCACCTTTCAATTGCTCATTGTCAATTTTATAGCTCTCTCTTTTTTGCATTTATTAAATTATTTTTATGTTAGCCATTCAAGCACCTTCAAGTACTTCTAAATTAGACAGTCTTCTTTGAACTGTGCATCTCTTTTTGATTGTTGCAGGTTACTTCCTGCAGGCACGTGTTTTGCAAGGCATGTTTGATAGACGTAGCTGACAGTGTGGAGAAAATAGCATGCCCTTCATGTACCAAACCCCTCAAATTTGACTTCACTGCAAATAATGATAAGGGGGATTCTAATTCTAAACCTACTGTCAAAGAGTTTAGGTCCTCAAGTATATTGAACAGAATTCAGCTTGATAAATTTCAAACGAGCACTAAAATAGATGCTTTGGTATGCAATTGCATTCTACACTATCACCATATTCTGCTCTGTTTGCTTTTCTTCTTTGCCTTACGGATTTCTTTCCCTTTTACAAAGAGAGAAAGCGATGTCATGTCATATCATCATATACTAAGATAATTTCTAACCCAAGGGGTGTGAGCTCATGATCTTGGCTCTTCATTATGTGGAAGAACGTCAAACTGCTTTTAAAACTAGTTGTGTGATGTGTCCCAGTCAGTGGAACAAGTATTGAAGAATCTCAGTCTTGTTAATTTTATTGGCGTTGCCCTTAACTCTTTGATTCTTCTACTTGTGAATAATATTGCTAAATACATTCTTGATGCTCACTTTTAATTTTATTGAATGTAGAGGGAAGAAATTAGGTTCATGGTTGAAAGGGACGGTTCTGCAAAAGGAATAGTTTTTAGCCAGTTCACTTCGTTTTTAGATCTGATACAGTATTCTCTTAATGTAAGATATACTTTCTCCTTCCTACTTTCCATTCCTCTTCTCAGACTAATAAATAAAAAGCTTGTATTATGTGTATTCAGCTGTCGGGCATCAATTGTGTTCAATTAGTTGGATCGATGTCTATTGCCGCAAGAGATGCTGCAGTAAACAAATTCACTGAGGATTCAGATTGCAGGATACTACTTATGAGTTTAAAAGCTGGAGCTGTTGCTCTCAATCTTACAGTTGCATCAAATGTAAGGATCTAGTGTTGCCCTCCTAATATATTTCCTCTTATTTGGTTCATTTGATATACCTAACTCCACTTCTCTGCACACTCAAAGAACCAGCTCAAGATACTATTATGACTCGTATTTATCTGTTGAATAAGCACACAACATATTTCAATGTTAGATGGCTCATCTCTTGAAACTTTCTAGGTTTTCTTAATGGATCCTTGGTGGAATCCTGCGGTGGAGCAGCAAGCCCAAGATAGAATCCATCGAATAGGGCAATATAAACCTGTCTGGTGTGTTTTGCCTTTCTTGTACTTTCGAGGCCATTGAATGGAGCTTATTATTTTCTTCTATTTTGTAGGATTGTGAGATTTGTGATAGAGAATACAATTGAAGAGAACGTCATAGAGTTGCAAGAAAAGAAGAAATTTCTTTTTGAAGGGCAAGTGTCTTTTCCTTACGGTCATCACATAGTTAAAGCATTTTGATGATTTCCCTTGCAAATTGTTATTAGATAACTTCTTTGCTCCTACCTTCCCATCCTCCGCTCTTTCTCTTCCCTCTAACTGTTTGTTCTTCCTCTGATTGCAGGACAGTCGGTGGTTCTTCAGAGGCCTTAGGAAAACTAACAATCGAGGACTTGTCAAACCTGCTTGAGCGTCACTTTTGATATGTTCTATTCCTTCTGTTTAGTTCCTGTCAACTTCTGTACTGTGTTCTGATGTTTGCTCTTAGGCTGTGCGGTGTTTGATATGTCGAAAGAGTGTTTCTGTAGCTTCATCAATTGTTAAATTGTTCTATTGCTTCCTTCATTTTAACTTCCTTTGCATGACAAAAGTGCATCAGAATTCATATCCTCAAGGCAACATCATGGAAATGTGCATCTGTATATGCCATCACAGTTCTGAATTCAGCTGCATTAGTAAAGAATCATATATTATTATAAGAGGGAACCAAAAAAGTTAAAAAGTTGAATTACGATTTTACCGTTATTATAAATTTAAATGTTATAAAGATATTTAACTATTTAATTTAACTATTAAATTATATTATTTTAATCAAAATGTTAATGACTTTTCCACTTCTTTAGAATAATTTTTAATTAAAATATCTAACTTAATTTATTTTCTTGAAATTATTTAAAATATTATTTTTTTCGTTTAATATTTATTTTGGGATTCAATGAATTTTGATTATCAAAGTTGAATTACTTTTTTGCTTTTACTTAATAAAAATATTTAATAAACAAAAATAACTAATCTAATTAGTAGTATTATTTAAATTGTTACACAATCTAATTAAATAGGAGTAATATTTTAATTTATCACTCAAATTACAACAGCCTATATTCAATGTTTTGGAATCTATATTCAATGTTTTGGAATTGCTAGCTTTTCCATCTTCCTAAAATTGTCCTCTATTCAATATTTTAATTTCATTTCAACTTCCGAAAATTATGAAACATTAATGTGAAGTTCATGAATCTATCAAGCCCTTAGTATAATTTATCTTTTACTGTATAATTATATATGCATTTATCCCATTAATTTTAAATTAGTTATTTTTTTTAATTTTCATCCGTTAGAAAACTTTTCATGTACTCTATTAAGTTTTATATAAATACACATAACATTTTTTAAAAAAAAGCATAGGATGCAGTACCAATTGATTTGCACAGTAATTTAGATAAGTGTATTACTATTCAAATTATATCATATGATTGAAAACTTGAGATTCTTATAGCCGATTGCATATTTGAGGCAACAATGTCAAATAACCATTTCGTGGAAGTTTACCTATCAGGTGATGTTGATTAATTAGTTAAAATTGTTGTGTCTTTATTTTGTTATTCTTTAATTTATCTTACACTTTAATATATGTAAGTGCATGTATTACTATAGAAAAAAAAAGTTATATATGAGATTATATACTTTAGAGGTTTAATCAAAATTTTGAAGTTATTAGTTTAATATGGTGGTGCAATGCATGAAAAACATTGATTTTAATAGTTTGTCATGTTACATTCAATATACATATATTTTACTAATTATGTATGTTGAATTCAAAAAAGAAATGACTCAAAAGTTTAAATCAGACAAAAAGTAATCTGCCCTTTCAAATCTATACAACTCATTATTTTCTTAAAAAAATTACTTAAAGTGAAATATACGTGCAACGCACGTATTCGAGAACTAGTATTAAGAAAAAAGAACTAATTTTAGTACCACACTTCAAACTATTGTTTTTTGTCCGCAACAACCACACTTTCAAACTAATACCAGAGCTAGTTGTTTGGAAGGTAAACACTCCTAAGGTTATGAGTTCGAGAAAAGGCCATTTCAAGAAATCTATCAACAAAAATATTAGATTACTATTCAAGTCTAAACTTACCTTTTTCCCCCCAGTATTCCATTCTTGCAAGAACAAATGAGAAAAGGTCAATTATTAAACAAAATGTCATAAAGAAGGAACTCAAAGTATTACAGTTCAAAGTCTAACCTCTCTTCGTGCACAAGAGTCAACTCCTCAAACCTCAGAAGAAAGGCTTCCAATTATGCCTATGCCTGCACAAAGGACGTTTCTAGTTTAATTTGCTCTGTTTATTCTGTATGTTGAATAAAATTAATTAAAAGTCGGAGTCGCAACAACCCCACACTTAAAACTGAAGCATACATACAAGTTAAGCTCAGACTGAACGTTAAACCGTCCCTTTTTAGGCTGCTGGTCTACGCTTAAGTTTGGCCTTTCGGGGTCTCGGACCACTCTCCACTTGGGCCTGGGAATGAAGGTCGAAGGAGGTGTTCTCTTTTGGACTCTCGACCCATGCTCCAGTTGGGCCTTTTGGGCGTGAAGGGGTAGTTAGAGGTCCACATTGATTGACAATGAAGTAGTGGTCTGATTTCACGAAAAATGAATACTCCAATTCAAGGTTCGTCTTCTTGTTTGTTTTCTTTGAAGCTCTTGAGTTTCTTGAAAGTTTGGTTGAAATTGAATGATTTTAAATGACCCAAAATGGAAAATAATGAATGACATGTAAATTGGAATAACATGTGAATAGGTTCATCACGTTGTGCCTTAGTATTGAGCTGTTATCTTTAATTTATTCCTGTCAAATTCCACATGTCTGAGCAATGTATTTCTTTAATTGGCAGGCAGCTGATCATCCTTACCATGTGATGTGCTCTAGAAAAGAATTGGCTGGAGTTGTTGATCAATTATGTCATGATGCAGTAGTGAGTTTGCACACTCCCTCCCCCATACCAAGAAATAGGAAAAGAGAGAAGAAGAAAGGAATACCAAACATGTCACTTAACTGAAGTTCAATTTTTTATAGCTCTCTCCTTTTTCTTCATTTATTAAATTATTCTTATGCTGGTCCAAGAGCATCGAGCACCTTTCAATTGCTCATTGCCAGCCTGACTATTGTATGTACACTCTTAAAGTGTACTGCGGATTTTCTTGAACTTGTTTTGTTTCTTTTTGCTTTACTTGTCAATGATGAATAAGGATGGCAATGGGGTGGAGAGGGGTGGTTTCGGGGAAAACCCGCATACACCCGTAAACATACTAACTCGCCCCGCCCCGCCCACAGAACACAAAATTCTGTAGTTTGTGTTTCCAGAAATTTTATCGTGTAGCTTAAGAGATATAGAAGCCTGGACTTATAAATATTTCCACAACCTGCTCTGTTTCCACATTACATTCGTTAAAACAAGTTTCAGCATATTCCGCACCCGCATAAAACCATACCCGCCCCTCTCTGCATAATGCAAAACCGTCCCGCCCCATTGTCATCCCTACGTACGAATTGCTTATAAAAAGTCATTTGGGAGTTCAAAGAATTAGCAAATTTACTCCTTCCTAATTTATGTGCCAACTTTTTTAAATTTGTGGTGTAAAACAAAATTTAGATATTTATATGGTTTTAATTATTTATTAAGTTAAAAGGAAAAGTTTAAATTGAATTGTTTCTAATTATAAAAAAGTTTAACATACTTCTTTTTGGTCCTCGAGTAAAAAGAAAAGAGTTTCATATAGATTGGGATAGAGGATGTAAAGTAAGGGAAACATTTTTTAAAACTTTGTTCTACCACACCATGCAGTCTAGACTCGATTAGGGTCTAGGTTACGAGTCAAGTCTCGTGGTTGGGAGAGGCCTTAGTTAAGATCTCAGATTGGCAGTTAGGGTCGGGTTTGAGAGTCAAGTTACCTGACTCCATACCCCAACCCGAGACTTGACTTATAACCCTAACTTGCAATCTTAATCTTGATCAAGGCTCGGGACTGTACTTCAATTCAAGACCGCTTTCCAGCCTCGGCCCGAGACCCCATCTGACCTCCAGAATCGATTTTCCGGCCTTAAACCATGATTTGACTCTTGTGTCAACTTCCACAGGTTCATTGCAGGCTTCACTATGATGCAGACTACGGTCTTGTGTTTCACCAGGAAGCCCATCACTGGTTACCAATCTCATGGAAGTCCAAAAACAGTCCACTATTTCTAGGAGTTCAGGTGAGGCTGAGTATATGAGTCTTTCCTCAACGTTTGCAGAAATCACCTGGATCATTGGCTTGTTTGAAACACTAGATATACCCTTGAGCCTACCAGTTCCTATTCACTGTGATCGCAAAGCAGCAATCCGAATTTCTGCTAATCCAGTGTTTCATGAATGAACAAAACATATTGACATTGATTGTCATTTTATTAGGGAAAAGGCTTCGAAGGGATTTGTGATCATATACTACTTGTGCTCTTCTGAGCAGCCTGCTAACATTCTTACTAAAGGGTTGAGTAAATATCAGCATTCACATCTCATGTCCAAGCTGGGAATGAAGAACATCTTCATATCACCTAGATTGAAAAGGGCTATTGGAGAATATAACAAGGAAATTGCAAAAGAGCTGAATGTAAATGTTAGTCGTTAATTCACTGTTAATTACTCCAGTTGTCACTGTTAGTTAGTTATTGAAGATTCTATAAGCTACTAGACTCAAATTAGTTACAATTCTGTTAGATTGTTATGTAACCAACTCTATGTGGCATTAGATAATTAAAAGGTGTGATCTATAAAAGGAAGTCTTTTTCTTTCATTATAATTCAACATTTCATAATAAAAGAATATCTTCTGCAAAGCTATTCACACATTCACATCCATGGAAGAACAAGCCGTGCATTCAATAGCACAGTAAAACAATTGACATGGTATCAGTGCAGCGACATATGACTCATCTCGAGCTGCTATTGATTTCCCTAGCAGATCACAATTATTTTGTGTAGTTGTGTGGCAATTGAAATTACTAAATTAACTCATAACTAGTCCAATTAGAACTAAAAATTATTTTATCGATGTCTTAATCAACTTTTGAACTACTTAATTCGTCCATTTGCAACTTTACTTTTTCTTTGTTGCCGGATTCAATGCACCATTGGTGATAGCTCTTTTTTCTAAGATTCAATTCGTCTTCATTTCATTTTTCTCTATTTTCTCTTATAAGTTAATTAAATTGGGAACCACGACATAGGTTAAATTTAATAATTAATAAAAAGTCTCTCGCTATAATTTAAATGATAAATACGTAATTGAAAAAATTGTCTTAGCCACTATCAGTTGTATAATTATTTGATGAAATAAATCATTTGTATTATTATAATACTTTTTTTGGAATTTAAAAAAAATATATATACTGTCAACACAACATATAGCAATATTTTCAGTTGATACCTGCATAGCCAAAAAGATTTCTTTTACAGCCGTGTTTATACAAATATTATTGACTTACGGTAATTAAGTAATGTATTAACCTTGTACAAAAATATATAAAAAGTGTTTATAAATTAAAAAGGAATTTTAGAAAAATTATAGTGTCCAACACAATATATTGCACCCACGTGGCCATACTTTTTAGTTAAATCGTAAAGCAAATTAACTTCTATCAATAAGGATTAAAAATAAAATAAAAATATACCTATCCCAAAAAGCCCCGTTATTAATTTGAGAAAAGTCAACAAGAATTTTTTTAACAACGATATCAAACTCTTAAAAAAAAAAAAAACTAATCAAACCATTCATTATACAGCTCATTTGACATGTCAGCAACTTTTGACACGTCATCAAATTAGTTTATGGCGGTTTTAATTTGTTAATCAGTTAGATTAATTTCAATTGTGCTCTCTATAAATAGTCCTTCCCGCTCAATTTTTCAATTTTCAACTCAGCTTCTTAATTTCTCTCTGCTTTCTCGAAAAATGGATCTTCGAATTCCAGGTTCTTCATCTTCGTCTTCGTCTTTGTTTTATTCTTCTGAAGATGTTGATTTTCTGATGTAAAATTGGATGATTTTGAAATGTGTAAATTGGAATGCCCTAATGGTGACTGTTATCTTTGATTTTCTCCTATTGTTATCAAATTTCTTATATTGAAATGTTAAATGCTATTAATAGCGTGTGTAATTTTCTAGTTAAATTGATAATTGTTCTTGTTTTACTGAAGACGAAAGGGGTGAAGGTACGGATGCGGATCAAAGACGCCGTGTGAAATTCTGGAAAGACAATCGTGAGAAAGTACAAAAGAAAAGGGGATCAGTTTTGAAATGGGAGACAGTGGAAGAAGAAATGGATGAAGTCATTCTTAAGAATTATTCAGATAATTCTGATAACATCTCGCTTGCTGAAACTGCTGAGCCACCATCGGATTTGATCTTGCCGCTTTTGAGGTACCAAAAGGAGTGGTTGGCTTGGTCAATAAAGCAAGAAGAATCTACATTCAAGGGGGGTATTCTTGCTGATGAAATGGGAATGGGGAAGACGCTTCAAGCCATAGCACTTGTGCTTGCTCAACGCGATTTAAAGAAAGCAACTAATGGTTCCAGTATATTGTTGTCTTCACCTGGTACTTCCCAGGAACTCCCAACAGTAAAAGGAACTCTTTTTGTATGTCCTTTGACAGGAGCATCTCAATGGCTTCGAGAGATTGAACGTTGCACAACTAAAGAAAGCAACAAAACTCTTCTTTATCATGGCACAAACAGGGGAAAATTTACATCCAACCTGGAGGAGTATGATTTTGTCATTACAACTTACTCCACTATCCTGGCTGACTATATGCTCATCATGTCAAAGCAGAAGAGCAACAACTCAAAATTGTGTGACGATGGTTCTATTGATAATTCGGTCAGTGTTGGTGAAGATGTGTCCAGAAGGAAGTCAATTCTGCATTCAGTGAAGTGGGATCGTATCATTTTGGATGAGGCAAGTCATGCATTCACAGATTCACGCATTATGTTGTTGTTTTCTCTATTTTGTAGTATCGGAGGTTTGAAAGAGTTCTTGGTTTATTTGCTGTTTATACAACCTTTTTCTTATAAATGCCAGTTTTTCAAGTCATGTTGTTAGAGTCGTAAATGCGGAGATTGGTATGAAAAAACCTATGCCGTTAACTGCTGGATAGTGTCATAACAGCTATGATGTTTATTAGAATGTGAAGAATCTTGTGGTGATTTCGAAGAAACCTATACAGTTAACTGCTGAATAGTGTAGGTGTAAATATGTCCATGATGTTTCAGCTATTAAAACTCAGCAAAATGTCCTAAAGTTCTTTGCTTTGCATTTCATCTATTTTCTATCTTGATGGTGAACAATGCTGCATGTAGTGTCACGTGAACTACTAAATTTCATCTGCAATTTTCTCAACTGATTGAGCTTCTGTGGCATAGGCTCATCATGTCAAATCTATAAGCACCACCACCACAAAAGCGGTTCTTGCTTTAGAATCTTTTTATAAGTGGGCCTTAACTGGTACACCCCTGCAAAACCACATTGGAGAATTGCACGTACTTGTAAGTTAATGTTTGCTGGTTTCACTACATTTTCTTTACTTTTAATAGTTCTGAGGTTAATTACATTATTTACTTCTATACAGGTCCGTTTCTTACAAGTTACTCCTTATGCTTATTACTTTTGCCAAAATTGTAATTGCAGCGGACTTGATTTAAGGTAGACACAAATATTCTTTTTTTAAATCCTTGTTCCTATCCCTTAGCATGAAAGACACAATGGCTCACAATCTATTTTACTTTATACTGTTATACTTTTGCTTCTCAAGCAATGTTACATATGAAATATCTTGTGCTCTTTGATGAATTCTACAGCTCCTCTGATAAATGCCCACAGTGCCATCCCCAGACTTGCCGACGTGCACGCCACTTCCTCTGGTGGAATAAAGTAAGTTAACAATTAATGAGGTTCATCTTTTTGCTGACAAAGTAAAGTTGAAACATCTTTTTTCTTTTTCCTAGTATATTAAAAAACCATTAAGGATGATGGGACACGAGAATGAAGGTGGAGATGCTATGGTTTTGTTGAAGCACAAAATTCTGAAAAGCATAATGCTAAGACGTACCAAAAAGGAAAGAGTTGCTGATCTTTCACTTCCCACAAAGATTGTAAGTTCTGTCTTGCAGTAGTGTCATGTGCTTCAATTTCGACAAGAATCTTCTATTATTGGTTACTATTTTTGGGTTCAGGTTATAATAAGAAAAGATTCTTTGGATGTGGATGAATTCAACTACTACAAGTCATTGCACAATAGAAGCCGAGAACTGATCGAGAGGTATTTTTCAAACTTGAGCTCTTATTCCTTGCAAGTCCACTTTCTTGGCTCCAGCTGCACCAATTTGCTGGCTCTATTTTTTTTTTGCTGTGTATTAAATGCATTAAATCTGTTTCCGATAATTGCTTGTTCTTAAGTAGTTATTGAACATATTGGGTTAGTATCTTGGTTTTTAACTTAAAAATCTTATACATCTTTTTCTTCCCATAAAATTCTTAATCATTTGTGCCATACTTGCCAAAAAGTAAGGGATCAAGGACATTTTTATTTATAACCGTATCACATTTTGTATTTTGGTGCAGATATGTAGAGGCTGGAACTCTGATGAATAACTATGGTCACATTTTTGCTATGATCACGCGCCTACGGCAGGTACCTACATTCCTACTCCTCTTACAACTTAATTTTGAAGTGTCTGCCTCTAGTTTTCTTTTCCTCCTATTATATGAGCGCAAATACAAATACTGGCCTTTCTTTTGCTTCATCTGAACTATGGGTCATCAGCCAAATTTGATTGCAGAAAATGTCTGACTAATATAATGTTTTTCTTTAATCGGCAGGCAGTTGATCATCGTTACCTTGTAATGTACTCTAGAAAAGAATTGGTTAGTGGAAATAAAGAGGTTGAAGATGTTGAAAAATTATGTGACCTATGTCATGATGCAGTGGAAGATCCAGTAGTGAGTTTGCGCACCTCTACCCACTCCCTCCTCCCAAACCAAGAAATAAGAAAAGAGAGAAGAAAAGGAAAGAAACAAATTCAGAAACTTCATGCACCTTTCAATTGCTCATTGTCAATTTGATAGCTCTCTCCTTTTTGCATTTATTAAATTATTTTTATGTTAGCCATTCAAGCACCTTCAAGTACTTCTAAATTAGACAGTCTTCTTTGAACTGTGCATCTCTTTTTGATTGTTGCAGGTTACTTCCTGCAGTCACGTGTTTTGCAAGGCATGTTTGATAGATGTAGCTGACAGTGTGGAGAAAATAGCATGCCCTTCATGTACCAAACCCCTCAAATTTGACTTCACTGCAAATAATGATAAGGGGGATTCTAATTCTAAACCTACTGTCAAAGAGTTTAGGTCCTCAAGTATATTGAACAGAATTCAGCTTGATAAATTTCAAACGAGCACTAAAATAGATGCTTTGGTATGCAATTGCATTCTACACTATCATCTTATTCTCCTCTGTTTGCTTTTCTTCTTTGCCTTGCGGATTTCTTTCCCTTTTACAAGAGAGCAAGCAATGTCATGTCACATCATCATATACTAAGATAATTTCTAACCCAACGGGTGTGAGCTCATGATCTTGCATCTTCATTATGTGGAAGAACGTCAAACTTCTTTTAAAACTAGTTGTGTCCCAGTCAGTGGAACAAGTATTGAAGAATCTCAGTCTTGTTAATTTGATTGACGTTGCCCTTAACTCTTTGATTTTTCTACTTGTGAAATATATTGCTAAATACATTCTTGATGCTCACTTTTAATTTTATTGAATGTAGAGGGAAGAAATTAGGTTCATGGTTGAAAGGGACGGTTCTGCAAAAGGAATAGTTTTTAGCCAGTTCACTTCGTTTTTAGATCTGATACAGTATTCTCTTAATGTAAGATATACTTTGTCCTACCTACTTTCCGTTCCTCTTTTCAGACTAATAAATAAAAAGCTTGTATTATGTGTATTCAGCTGTCGGGCATCAATTGTGTTCAATTAGTTGGATCGATGTCTATTGCCGCAAGAGATGCTGCAATAAACAAATTCACTGAGGATTCAGATTGCAGGATATTACTTATGAGTTTAAAAGCTGGAGCTGTTGCTCTCAATCTTACAGTTGCATCAAATGTAAGGATCTAGTGTGGCCCTCCTAATATATTTCCTCTAATTTGGTTCATTTGATATACCTAACTCCACTTCTCTGCACACTCACAGAACCAGCTCAAGATACTATTATGACTCGTATTTATCTGTTGAATAAGCACACATCACATTTCAATGTTAGATGGCTCACCTCTTGAAACTTTCTAGGTTTTCTTAATGGATCCTTGGTGGAATCCTGCGGTGGAGCAGCAAGCCCAAGATAGAATCCATCGAATAGGGCAATATAAACCTGTCTGGTGTGTTTTGCCTTTCTTGTACTTTTGAGGCCATTGAATGGAGCTTATTATTTTCTTCTATTTTGTAGGATTGTGAGATTTGTGATAGAGAATACAATTGAAGAGAACGTCATAGAGTTGCAAGAAAAGAAGAAATTTCTTTTTGAAGGGCAAGTGTCTTTTCCTTACAGTCATCACATAGTTAAAGCATTTTGATGATTTTCCTTGCAAATTGTTATAATCAATCTTTTTATTAGATAACTTCTTTGCTCCCACCTTCCCATCCTCCGCTCTTTCTCTTCCCCCTAACTGTTTGTTCTTCCTCTGATTGCAGGACAGTCGGTGGTTCTTCAGAGGCCTTAGGAAAACTAACAATGGAGGACTTGTCAAAGCTGTTTCAGCGTCACTTTTGATATGTTCTATTCCTTCTGTTTAGTTCCTGCCAACTTTTGTACTGTGTTCTGATGTTTGCCCTTAGGCTGTATGGTGTTTGATATGTCAAAAGAGTGTTTCTTTAGCTTCATCAATTGTTAAATCGTTGTATTGCTTCCTTCATTTTAACTTCCTTTGCATGACATAAAGTGCATCAGAATTCATATCCTCTAGGCAACATCATGGAAATGTGCATCTGTATATGCCATCACAGTTCTGAATTCAGCTGCATTAGTAAAGAATATTAAGAAAAAAGAACTAATTTTAGTACCACACTTCAAACTATTGTTTTTTGTTCGCAACAACCACACTTCCAAACTAATACCAGAGAGAGTTGTTCGGAAGGTAAACACTCCAAAGGTTATGAGTTCGAGAAAAGGCCATTTCAAGAAATATCAACAAAAATATTAGATTACTATTCAAGTCTAAACTTACCTTTTTTTCCCAGTATTCCATTCGTGCAAGAACAAATGAGAAAAGGTCAATTATTAAACATAATGCGATAAAGAAGGAACTCAAAGTATTACAGCTCAAAGTCTAACCTCTCTTCGTGCACAAGAGTCAACTCCTCAAACCTCAAACCTGTCATCCCTACGTACGAATTGCTTATAAAAAGTCATTTGGGAGTTCAAAGAATTAGCAAATTTACTCCTTCCTAATTTATGTGCCAACTTTTTTAAATTTGTGGTGTAAAACAAAATTTAGATATTTATATGGTTTTAATTATTCATTAAGTTAAAAGGAAAATTTTAAATTGAATTGTTTCTAATTATAAAAAAGTTTAACATACTTCTTTTTGGTCCTAGAGTAAAAAGAAAAGAGTTTCACATAGATTGGGATAGAGGATGTAAAGTAAGGGAAACATTTTTCAAAACATTGTTCTACCACACCATGCAGTCTAGACTCGATTAGGGTCTAGGTTACGAGTCAAGTCTCGTGGTTGGGAGAGGCCTTAGTTAAGATCTCAGATTGGCAGTTAGGGTCGGGTTTGAGAGTCAAGTTACCTGACTCCATACCCCAACCCGAGACTCGACTTCTGACCCTAACTTGCGATCTTAATCTTGATCAAGGCTCGGGACTGTACCTCAATTCAAGACTCGCCTTCTAGCCCGGCCCGAGACCCCATCTGACCTCCAGAATGATTTTCCGGCCTTAAACCATGATTTGACTCTTGTGTCAACATCCACAGGTTCATTGCAGGCTTATTGTGATGCAGACTACGGTCTTGTGTTACACCAGGAAGTCCATCACTGGTTACCAATCTCATGGAAGTCCAAAAAACAGTACACTATTTCTAGGAGTTCAGCTGAGGCTGAGTATATGAGTCTTTCCTCAACGGCCTCTGTTATGGTAGATCCGACAGTGGCTTCTCTTGAACACTCTCATCCTATCTACCTTCATGCATCAGATACACCAGGTACAACTTAGATTGCAATCCAGCTCATGGGCCCACCTAACTATGGATTATGGAGCAGGTCACTACGACTTGCGTTATTGGTTAAGAGCAAGCTCTGCTTTGTAGATGGAACTTGTCTAAAGAGTTCGTATAAAAAAGGGGAATTGGCAGCTCAATGGGAAAGATGTAATGTTGTGGTGCTCTCATGGATCAGTAGCAATGTTGCTCAGGAATTACTCACTACAATTGTGTATGCCTCAAATGCCAACCGTGTATGGGACGACTTCAAGAAGAGGTTTGACAAATCTAATCTCACTAGAGTGTATCAACTATGGGCAAAAGTTTCTTTCTAATTGTGATGAAGCTAAACCCTACATTAAGCACTTAAGTCAACAAAGGCCGTTAATGTTCCTCATGGGCCTTAATGACTCCTATACTCATGTTAGAAGTGACACCTTCCTTAAAGTGATTGTTCCTATTGTTACTCAGGCGTATGCCACTGTAAAATACAGAAAGAAAGTCAGAGGTTACTAGGTGTTATGGATGTCAACAAGGAACCTCTAACAATGATGGTTAACAGGAAGCAAGATTTCAAGTGAAGGAAGCTCTTTGACACTGCCTGTGAGCATTGTGGCTACAAAAATCATCTCACTAAAGATTGTTATAGGGTCATTGGGATACCCTGCAGATTTCAAAAGCAAGAGGAAGCAGGGACAAGGATAGCAATACTGGATTCAAAGGTTATGGTGACTCTCAAAGTAATAACAATGGTGACGGTCATAGGTTCAACAATTTCACCCACAATCAGCATGCTGATTCAGGATTCAAATCCTATGCAAACCAAGTTGGTGTTGATAGACAGGATTTTGCACTCACTCTCACTGAGAAGGAATACAATGATGTGAGGGATCTCAGACACAACAATACCAGTTGTGCATATGTTGGTGATAACAGTGATTGCAAAGTAAATCTGGCAGGTAATGTGTCTTTATCATCTGATGCTTGTGATCATCGTTGGATAATTGATTTAGGTGCCACTAATTACATTACATCTTCTCAACAAATTCTAGCTGAGTTCAGTAGTCTAAGTGATCAGAGGTCCAATACTGTACAACTTCCAACAGGAAATGGAGCTCATATTGTAAAAACTGGGCATTATGTTATTATGGGTTGTTATAAGGTGAAGAATGTACTACATGTACTTGACTTCAAGTTTAACTTGTTTTCAGTTGCAAGGTTGACTAAGAACGTGTTGTATAGTATCACTTTCGTTCCTAATTTTTGTGTGATGCAGCTCTCTCAAATGGCATGGATTATACTTATGTTAAACAATTCAGTTAAAGTTGTAGTCAATAATACCATAAGAGACAACAAAACTACAACATCATTATGACATTTCAGACTTGGTCACCCTTCTTTAGTTGCTATGCAACACATTTCAGCTATCAAGGACAACTAACTCATTGACCACGTTGTCATACATGTCCTCAAGCAAAACAAAGTAGACCT